GACAATCTAAGTGATATTGCAGATCTCAACAGGGACAGGCAGCTTTTCATGCTGAGGCAGAGGGAAATTCAGAATCAAGAGAGACACATAACAGAATGGGGCTGGTGAGAGGGACTCATCCCTGTATTGATCTCTCCTTGGATTGGGCCTTGAACATCATGTGCTTCATAGCTGGCTGAATCCATGTTCCCACCTCTGTTTTTTAGGCTGGGAGGAATGAAATGAGAAATAGGCTGAGCAGTCAGTGAATGATGTACGTAGCAAGCGAGCAGTGAGAATCCATGCACATTGTCTCAGAGTGGGATTGGGAAACATCACACGGAGACCATTTTAGAGAGTAATGGGTGGAGAGGAACCTATTTCTCTTACGCACTGACAACAACTTTCCTTCCCTCCCCCAACTCCCCGCTCTTGCGCCTTCTCAGTTGCAAGGCTGGTCAACTGCTCCTACAAGAGAGACTGCAGGCTGTGAAGGTGGAGAGTATCTGGTCATTATGCTGCAAAAAAAAGTCTACAGTTATCTTATTCTGTTGAGTATCTATGGTGAGGGCAGGCTGCAGACATTTTGCCTGAGGCAAAGGACAAGATGCCCTTGGCCTCTGTTCCATGCAGCCAGGTCAGCTGAACTAGGAGATGAATTCTTCATCAGCCCTGGTGGAAGGACAGCATCTCCCATCACATCTGAGACAATCAGGTTAGTTTAGGAGCACAGGAAACTGTGTCATACTGAGTTAAACCATTGGTCCACCCAACTCAGTATTGCCTACACTGACTGGCAGCAGCTCTCCAGGATTTCAGACAGAGAACCTTCCAAAGTCCTACCTGGAGATGGCAGAGATTGAACCTTTGATCTTCTGCATGCAAAGTGAGTGCTCTACCTCTGAGCTGCAGCTTAGACATAAGAACATAGAAATCTGCTTATAAGGAGATGGTCCATCTAGCTCAGTATTGTCCATAACAGCTCTCTAGGATTTCTCTCCCAGCCCCACCCAGAGATGCTCTACCACTGAGTTACAGCCCTCAACAAGGAAGTATAGGCCAAGCCAGGCACAACTGTCTTCTGCAGCACCTCACCACTGCTGTCCACTCTCCAACAACTGATTATTGGCAATGCTGGCCAGAGCCAGTAGGAGTTGGAGTCCAATAATATTTGGAGGGCCACTGGTTCCCTCCCTCTTCCTAGGGTGACCACTTACACATCTCACACAAAAGAGGACAAAAGAGAACCTAGATGGGCATACCATTTGCACATGCTAATTTATATGTATAGATGCAAAATATGGAAACAGTGATGATAATCTGAAGATAGCAGCTAAAATGTGCCTTAATCTTGGCTCCAAAGAACGTGCTGGTTGGTATACCACTGAGATTGGTTAGGTTATGAGCCACTAGAGATGGGGATTTTGGATTGGTGACCCCTAATTTATGAAACTCAGAGTGAATCCAGTGTCAGAGTAGACCCATTAGAAATAATAGGCATGGTTAACTTAGATCCATTAATTTCAATGGGTCTGCACTGGGGAGAACTTAGTTCAATGCAATCCTATCTCCTAAGAAATGTGTGGTTGATTTTGTCCGTGCCAGCCTTCCAAATAGCCTGAAAGACCTATCCATTGCAGTTGGCTTTTAATGAAGGTGATTTGTTTTTTAAAGGTTGCTGATGTTTCAGTGTATTGGGTTTCAGTCTGCCACTTATCTGGAATTTGGGGTTTTGCTGTTTCTGGGCAATGCATATCTTCGTAGCTTTATTTGCACTATTGTTCTTGCTGACTAGCTGGCATTATCCATGTCATTCATTTAGAATTATGCTTTTAGTTTCTAAAAAGGACCATCATCTTATATAGCTACCTCAGAGCCTCTAAAACAAACAATCCAAGAAATAAAATCTACAGGTGTGCACATAAGGCTGTGTCCAAAACTGGTCCTATTCTGAATAGAGCTGTTGGACATGACATAGGGTAAAAGCAACCTTGTATGCTCACAGTCAGTAGATGGAAGAGTTGAGACTAACAAATAGTCAGGGAAAACACACTTTGTGGTTTTTCACTAAGCACCCAAGCTCTGTCCCTTCCTCTCCCTTTCCCTCTGTCTCCTCTCCCTGTCACTTGCATGAGGATGCCATGAAACAAGCTCTAGCCATGTAGTTTCAGGATCTGAAGCCATCCTTGTGAACACGAAGTAACTGTAAGTAAATAATATTTTTTCTTCACCAATGGGACTCCCATGAGTTTTATCTCCCCATTTTAAGCAATGATAGTAATGTGTGAAAAAGTGAGAGAATGGATAGTGGTTGGACTGCAGCTAGTTTGGGCTTCCAAGCATTTCAAGTCCTCTCTCTCCTCACCCACTCTCTCTCACAGACAACACACACACACACACACAGTATTTATATATTACTGTTACTATTAATAAGAATTAATTAATTAAAATTCTATATTACCTTCAACTGAGGATCACAGGGCAGTTAACAATATAAAAACATCTCAGCTCATGCTGAGCCATGCAGTTAACTTGCAGTGCCTTTAAACCTTACCTTGCCCATGTATCACTCAGGTTTATGCATTAGAGAATTTGGAAGAAAATCATCATCATCATCATCATCATCATCATCATCATAGATTTATACCCCATCTATTATGGGCAGTTTCCAGCACATAAGAACATAATAAAAGAAAGAGGGGGAAACCCGCATTCAATTTCTTCATGGGGCAGGGAAGGTCAGTGGCAGGTGTTTTTGTTTTTGTTTTTTGTTACTATGTTGTGGATTTTGGTGCTTTATATTGTAAAGCTCCCTATGATCCTCGAATGAACAGTGGTAGAGATATTTAATAAATCATCACCACCATCCTGGTTTTTAGGCTACACTTTAAGTCTCACCTATGAGTAGTACAATGAAAGCTCAGAAACTTATGTCAGGATGTTGCTCAATCTTCATGGCCTCAAGGCATATACTGGGCCCTAATGCAGCCTCAAGGCCACGCCTTGCAAACCCAGATGACTCCAGTGAGGAGGGTCTGTTTCAGAAACCATCTTGCCTGGGCGGAAATTCCGGCTGGTATTCACAGCCAGCTCAATACATTTTGCTGCCTGAAGGCAAGATGGGGTCATTCCCCATTTCCAGGTGTCCTTGAACACCGACAGACCCTCCAAGTGTCCCTATTTTCCAGAGACGTCCCAGATTTACTGAAGTCATCCCAGTTTCTGGTTGATCCTGGAATGTCCTGCTTTTCCTTAGGATGTCCCTATTTCCATTGGAGAAATGTTGGAGGGTATGGAGTTATCTGACACACACACCCGAGCCATATGAAGGTAATTCTGTAAAGGAAAGGTAACCCAGTAAGATGTGTGGGGTATATATAGTAAAATTATCATTATGGAATGGGACGTCCCTATTTTCATTGGAGAAATGTTGGAGGGTATGCACTGATCAGGCCTCTTGTTGGCTGGACAAAGAACAGAAATGTGTGAAACTAGCCTACTGTGCAAAGGGAAGATTTACATTAATCATTCCACCTACTTCTGCATCTGGCCCTGCCCACTGCTGGTATGTGCTCTCAGAAAGTTGCCCAGAATGGAGCACGGCCTTCAAGCTGAAAATCTCCTCCACCCATGTTCTGTAAATCAGCATGTGCAAATGTGTTGCAAATCACATCCTTTGGGGGGGAAGGTGATGCATTTCCTTGTTTAGTGGCCATTGTAGGTTGTTTCCGCACCAACTGGGTGTTGTTGAGAGACCCTTGAAGCACATCTTGCCCTGAACATTATTTTGTGTGTGTGTTCTGAGAGTCCTCAGAAAGGAATGCACCACAGGAAGAAGGGGAATGAGAAACAGTGAGGCATATAACCAAATGAAAGTCAAGAAGCACAGCACTGTGGCGTTTAAAAATATGCAGGTCGCTGGCTGGGCACCCCCAGCATAACAACATGTGCCTCTAGTCAGGCAGGTCAATTGCTATTTGTCAGAGGGAGCCATGGCCGGGGCCTGCGGCTCAGCACTGATCATGGCACGGCCCCCTCTGAACTGACCCAGCCATTTAGCCTTTTCCGAGAAATATTTACAGAAAGGTCAGCAAATGCTTTGTGACAGGATGTGATCACATCCCCCGGACCTCGCGAGCTCATGCTGCCTACCTCGGCTCTTCTCCTGGCTGCTGAACCTCACAAGAGTGGCAGGCTTGGGTTGCTAAGGGGGAGATGATGAACCAACAGGAATATTCCTTTTGCAGAACTGAAGGATGTGGCAGAAGCTTAGCTGAAGTGCAGAGGAGCGGCTGGAAATTGTACACAGGAATGTGGAAAGCTGCCTTACACCAAGCCAGACTACTGGTCCATCTAGCTCATTATTGTTGACACACCAACTAGCAGTGGCTCTACCAGGCCTCAGACCAGGAATCTTTCCCAGCTGTACCTGGAGATGCCAGGGGTTGGACTTGGGACCTTAGGAACATGAGAACATAAGAAGAGCCTGCTGGATCAAGCCAATAGCCATCCAGTCCAGCATTCTCACAGGGGCCAAGCAGATGCCCCAATAGGAAGCCCTCAGGCAGGACCTGAGGGCAACAGTGTGATTCCTGGAAAGTGGTATTCCAAAGCATTGTACCTGTCAACCTAACTCACCTCAGCATGTTGTCATGAGGATAAAATGATAATGGAGAGAACACAGTATCCCATGTTCAGCTCCTTTGAGGAAATATAGGACTGCAGGGGTTGGACTAGATGACCCACAGGGTCCCTTTCAACTCTACAATTATGTGATTCTATGAAATGTGGCAGCAGCAGCCCCAAACTCCCTTGAAGTTTAGACCTGACTTGTAGCAGGATACATATCTGCATACATAAAGTCACAGGTTGAATCTGTGGACATCTCTTGGTAGGGTTGGAAAACAATTCTGCCTGTGACTCTGGAGAACTGTTGTGAATCTGAGCAGACAAGACTGTGACAGCTGGACCAAGGCTCTGTCTAAGGCAGCTTCCTATGTCCCTGTGTCAAAGGAAGGGACGCAGCTCAGTGGTAGAGCACCTGCTTTGCATGCAAAAGGTCCTAGGTTCAATCCCCAAGTGCAATACAGAGCTAGAGAGACCAGTTGTCTGACTCAACATAAGGCTATGTTCATGTGTAAGCCTCTGTCCCACAAAACATGCAATTTAAATTTTGGGAGCTGAGACATATGCAGAAAGTCCCAGGTTCAATCCCAGACATTTCCCATTAGGGAATGTCCGCAATCTGAAAACCTGGAGAACCTGTGGCGATCAGGGTTGACATTATTGAACTAGGTGGGCCAATAGTCTGACCTGGTATTAGGTTAGTTAGGTTAATGGGCTTCAGAAGAGCACTGCACTCCCCTTGATTCCTTTGCATTGTAGACAATGCTATCTTTCCCTGGAATCCCTCCTTCAAAACAGGCAAATCCACACCATGAATACACTGTAAGTTATAGGTACAAAAACAGCACACTAATATTACAGGTTCTGAGCCATCCATTACCGGCTTCCTTGCATGGGCTGATGACCTGATTAATTGATATTTAATTGATTGCCCTGCCAGCATAGGACTTTATCGTGTGCTGATTGTTTTGCAGACTATTACTAAAATGTCTGAGGGACAATTAGTGCAAAATCCATAGGAGTGTCAGCAAGAAACAAAATGAGCAGGAGCCCCAAATGTCTGCTGCAGGCTTGGGTTTTACAGCAGGAAGAAAATAGTTATTGGCTAATGAGCATAAGCATCATGCCCCCAACCCCCAGTTCCAGGGCCCTGCAGGAAGACTTGGATGAGGACAAGGTGCAGGTTGCTTCACCCAGTAGTTTCTCACCAGCACCACCCCCATCTTCCTTCATAGAAGTCAATATATACAGAAGCAAGCAAGGGCTTTTAGCAACGTCCTGACACAAGCCAGCCTCACCTACCTAAACAATGTGATCCACTCTCTGCTGAGACAGCATTCTTCCCTTGGTTGCAATAGGAGAGGGAAGTTTCAAGCTCATTGGGAGCTTTCCATGGTACTGAAACAATCTGCCCCACACCAGCCTGAATGCCCTGTGCTGCAGGTCCCTGAACATTACCTGTATGTGACTCTGCTTATTGGACCTGGCTCTGCTCATACTGCTTTAACTCATTCTGACTTTCCGACTGCACTTTGCCTTACATGGGCTTGAGAGACAAAAATTGCCATAGCAAGTGTTGACTAAAGTAAGGGTCCTGCCCCAACTGCCCCTGTGAGTCTGGAGTCTCTACAAAACAAGATGTTTTGTTGGGTGGGGGAAACAATCTAGTCCAGCACCATCTTTCCCACAGTGGCTAATCCAGTGTTTAGAAGAAGTTCACAAGTAGGGTGTGAAAGCAACATTAACCAACCAGGTGCTTTTTGAGGAGCCCCCAAGCAGAGAATAAAGACAACAACTCTTAGCCACTGTGCCCTCATCATCTGAGACACTTGGGGATACAGCTTGTTAACATGAACATTCTGTTTAGGGATTTTCTCAGATCCCTATAAACTTCCCAACCTCTCCTCCAAGTCACTGGCGGTGACATTTCCTTAGGGATACCATGCTATTTCCATTTGAAACCTTGGGGGGGGGCTTCTAATTTTGCCAGAGGTTTCACAGTAGAATCCCACTTCCCATCTCCCACTTCAACTGGTCCTTTGAGTGAAATTTTGACATCAATTCTGAGTGTGAGCTGTGAAATGCATTTGCAGTTCCCCCCTCACCTTAGCCACAAACTCGCTGGTACTGAATTTAGTGGAATCTACTTCAGAGGAATGATATATATATTTATTGTATTCATACTGCACCTTTGCTCCAAGAAGCTCAAGGTAGTATACATAGTTTGTCTCCCCACTTTACCCTCACAATGACCCTGTAAAACAGGCTAGGCTGGGAGTGAGTGAGTGACTGGCCCAAGGTCACCCAGTGAGCTTCATGGCTGAGTGGAGATTTGAACCCTGGTCTCCCAGGTCGAAGTCCAACAATCTAACCACTATACCACCCTGACTCTGACAAGGCCAGGGCTGTATTATAAGTAACACACACTTAACTGTGGAATCTGCTCCCACAAGAGGTAGTGATGACAACCAGCTTGGATGGCTTTATAGTAATGGTAATGGGTAATGGGACCCCTGACCATGAGGTCCAGTCGTGGACGACGCTGGGGTTGCGGCACTCATCTCGCTTTATTGGCCGAGGGAGCTGGCATACAGCTTCCAGGTCATGTGGCCAGCATGACAAAGCTGCTTCTGGCGAACCAGAGCAGCGCATGGAAACACCATTTACCTTCCCGCCGGAGCGGTACCTATTTATCTACTTGCACTTTGATGTGCTTTCAAACTGCTAGGTTGGCAGGAGCAGGGACTGAGCAATGGGAGCTCACCCTGTTGCGGGGATTCGAACCACTGACCTTCTGATCAGCAAGTCCTAGGCTCTGTGGTTTAACCAACTTTAGAGTAAGATCAGGCAAATTCAGGGAAGATAAGGTTATCAATGCTAGCTACCACTATGACTTTGTTACACCTCCACTATCAGAGGCAGACAGTATACCTCTGTGTGCAAGTTTACTATTCACAAGTGAGGAGAGCATTGTTGCACTTGGGTCCTGGTTATAGGCTTCCCAGGGGCATCTGGTTGGCCACTGTGAGAACATGACGTGGGGCTAGATGAGCCTTTGGGTTGGTCTAGGAGGGCTCTTCTGACTTTCTTAGCCTCAGTCCTCTTGAAACCAGCTCCCCATCTTCAATATGGGGATAATAATACTGCCTTACCTGGTGGCAAGGATCGCAGACATAATGTATGTTGAAAGCTCTGAATGTGCTCTTTATAAATGCTAAGTATCATTATTATGAGTCTTTTGGACTAGTCTGAGCAGGACCAGCATTGTGTCCCCACCATATTAGTCTTGCATCCAGTTGAATCAGTAACTGGAAAAGCACTAAGCAGATGATTCCCCCCCACCACCTCTGAAGTGATGGAGGGGGGCTGTGGTCGCTTCCTGGACCAATCTTGCACTCACTTACAGAAATGCCACTGTTTTCCTGGCTCCTCTCAAAGAAGAGAAAACAATGCACATATTCTCAAAAGCGAGGCCCGGACCTCAATTATTTGCAAGCCACTGTGAGCTGATGGCAGTACAACGGACGGAATTATCACAGCTGTGCGAATGCTACCCCCTTGTGACCAGAACATATGAATCCAATCGAGCTTCCTAATGTGTTCTCTCTTGCAAGGAAGGGAGAAACAGCCGAAGTGGCAAGCGTAGCTCACTCCAGGGATGCTCAGATGGACAGAGGTGTTCAAAGATAGGGTTGCCATATTTCAAAAAGTGAATATCTGGACACAATAGTTGTTGAGCTTTTGTTGGTGGGGGGGCCAAAGTTGTTCAGTTGCCGTATGCCCAGGTTTTCCCAGTCATTTTAACGATTTTCAGAAATTCTACCTGGACACTATTTCTGATGGAAGAATCCTGGATATGTCCTGGAAATCCTGAATGTATAGCAACCCTACCTTTCCACTTCAGCAGGGCATTTTCTCAGGATAACCAAATCTGCAGTTTCCCTTTTGAATTGGCAACCCCATTCTTTCCTTTCTTCCTCTTTTTTATTGCAAAGATAACATAAGGAGAAAACAGTGCCAGCTCACACCAACAATAAGAATAATCCATAATCCATTCACATCCTGAAGCAAATGCAACATGAGTCTGCGCGTCTGCACATGTGTAGGTCGCGTTTCGCCGCTTCTGCGCATGCGTGTGATGTCATTTTGAGCGTCTGCGCATGCGCAAGCTGTGAAACCCAGAAGTAACGCATTCTGTTACTTCCAGGTCGCCATGGAGCGCAACCCAAAAATGCTCAACCTGAAGCATATTCATCCTGAGGTATGACTGTATACATTAATATAAGCAATCCATGTGCCCTAATACATGTCCAAACAAGATGGACAATTATGAGATATACCAGGATGCACCCAAGTTTCCCCAAACATGCCCACACTGACAAGTTTGAGTGGCGTCAGCTGATGAGTGTAGTGGGAGTGATTTAATCCTACTGGTTGCTGTTTTGCCGGTTGTGTTCCCCGATGAACAAGCCCCTGCAGTAAGCAGGACTGAACTCTCTGCTCATCAGCTTCTGAATGGAGAGAGTGCAATCCTGCTGGGGTCCGCTTTGCCAGAATTCTCCTTCTGGGGAACGCGCTGGTGGATCAGATCCTTCCTCCTCCTTCTGCAGAAGGGAAAGAGGATTGAAGCAGCCCCCAGCCAGTGGCAGCAGGAGGAGAAGGAGCCGCCAGCCATGGAAGCTGCATTGCCTCTGCGCTCGGCTCAGCTCCCTGGCTCCTCTGATGTCCTAACGCGACATCAGGATGTTGCGTGCATGAAGTTGCCCCCTCCCCCCAATCTCCCTCACAGGTTCTGCATGCAAGGCATATGCTCTGCCACTGAGCTAAGGCCATTTCCCATCTCAAGGCCCTTTCCTGATTTCTGCATGTTCAGATTCTTTTTATTGCGGGTAGAATATGAATACAGTGGTACCTTGGTTTAAGAAGAAGAAGAAGAAGAAGAGTTTGGATTTGATATCCCGCTTTATCACTACCCTGATGAGTCTCAAAGCAGCTAACATTCTCCTTTCCCTTCCTCCCCCACAACAAACACTCTGTGAGGTGAGTGAGGCTGAGAGACTTCAGAGAAGTGTGACTGGCCCAAGGTCACCCAGCAGCTGCATGTGGAGGAGCGGGGAAGCGAACCCGGTTCACCAGATTATGAGTCCACCGCTCTTAACCACTGCACCACACTAAGAACAGCTTAGTTTATGAACAACTTGGATTAAGAACGCTGCAAACCCAGAAGTAGGTGTTTTGGTTTATGAACTTTGCCTTGGAATAAGGTCATGTTTTGCTTTCTGCTGAGTGTGTTCCATTTGTCAATTGAGTTCCCCGCTGCTATGGAAAAGCATGCCTTGGTTTAAGAACGCTTTGGTTTTAGAACGGATGTCCGGAATGGATTAAGTTCGTAAACCAAGGTACCACTGTACCTTAAATAGACATGCGGCACCATTGTTAAAACAACTGCTCTGGCTGCCCATCTGCTACCAAGCCAGGTTCAAGGTTCTTGTATTGATTTTACATAGCCCTGAGCAATTTGGATCCAGGGCACCTCAGGGATCACCTGAACCCTTATATCCAACTTAATCACTGAGATCATTTGCAGGAGCGTCTCTGGCCTTTTCCTGAGTTGGTGAGGCTCATTTGACAACAATAAGAAACCGAACCGCCAGTGGCATTGGCCTAGTCCTGTGGAACACCCTGCCAATAGAGATTCAGTGGGTGCCTTCTGTGCCAACTTCTAAATGCCTACTGGAATAAATTCTTCTTTGCCAGGCTGATGCAGTACATGCCCCACATTTCTTTTTGCTTTTACCTTGTTTTTAGTGTTTGGTGTTTTTATATTGTTGTAAGCTGCTTTGATATATCATTATGATGCAGCAATATATGAATACTTTTATAAATAAATAAACGAATGAATAAAAACAAAAACGCTCTTCATTGACTTTGGGATGCCTCATGGCAAGAGATTCAGAAATAAAAATGACTAAAAATAAATTTTTAAAATCTAATTCAATAAAAGTAGTAGTAGTAGTAGTAGTAGTACGGGACAAGGGTGGCGCTGTGGGTTAAACCACAGAGCCTAGGACTTGCCAATCAGAAGGTCGGTGTTTCAAATCCCCGTGACAGGGTGAGCTCCCGTTGCTCGGTCCCTGCTCCTGCCAACCTAGCATTTCGAAAGCACGTCAAAGTGCAAGCAGATAAATAGGTACCGCTCTGGCAGGAAGGTAAACGGCGTTTCCGTGCACTGCTCTGGTTCGCCAGAAGCGGCTTAGTCATGCTGGCCACATGACCCGGAAGCTGTATGCCAGCTCCCTCGGCCAATAAAGCAAGATGAGCACCGCAACCCCAGAGTCGGCCACGACTGGACCTAATGGTCAGGGGTCCCTTTACCTTTATCTTTAGTAGTAGTAGTAACTACTACTACAACTACTACTACTACTACTACAACACACTGAATTGCCCCACACTTTGTGGGGCAAAGGGTGCTCAGTTTGTAATGCCTTCGTATGTGTACCCAGGGGGATGTTTGGATCTGTAACTGCTGAGACTATGTGAGTGCAGATGAATGTGTGCAAGGACAGGTCAACTGAGGTACAGATGTGTCAGTCGATGTGGATGCTGAATGTGTATTGGTGCATCACATGAAGGAACGCTGTGTCCTGGAATTTGATGTTTTTATAAATTATAATATTTATGGATTTTGATGAGTTTTCCACACTGCATTTGATTTTTATTGTTTTGACTTTTTCTCCTTCCTTTTCCTTTGTAAAACCACTTTGTCAACTTTTCCGACGAACTTGGGATAAATGACTGCCGACATGGTAGGTAATAAGTATATGAGCCTGTGTGGTGTTGAGGTTAAGAGTCTCAGGCTAGAACCTGGGTTACTTGGGGTTCAAATCTCCTGCTCAGCTGTGAAACTAGCTGGGCATGGCCTTGGGGACCAGCCAAAGTTTCTCAGCCTAACCTACCTTGCAGGGCTGTTGTGTGGAAGAAGGGTGGGATATAAATGAGATAAATGAAAAAGCGATTGAATAAATGACAGGCTCCACCTTAGAACACAAAAATCCCAACTGCTCAGATAGAAGGCCACTTGCACACAACTTTGGGGTTTCTTCAAATCGCCTTTCCCTACCTTCTATCTGGAGCAGCTCCCTGCCCAGGAAAACTGAATGCCCCCACCCCATCTCCTTATTTTTGCACCCTGCCACAAACTTGGTATTCTCTGTTTCCTTCCTTCCTTCCTCCTCCTCCTCTTCCTTGCCCTGTTAAATGATTGCAGTTATCAAGTGCTGACAAGTAGCATTAAAATTTATTAGCCAGTATAAAGTTTTATTTTAGGGTGGCTAGAGATTTACTAGGCTTTGAGAGTTCTTTCCTAGGTTGGCTGTGTCACTTTTAATAACTACTTGACACAACAATTCTCTCCCAACAGGGATAACATGCAGGGCTGTTTAGGGAGGATGAGTATGGGGAGGGTGCAGGGTGCAAAGGCTCTTTACTTCACAGTGTGTCATGTCCCGTTCCCCCCACCACCACCACATGACAGGTGTGCATTGGTTTCTCATTTGTTGCAAGCGATCCCAAAGGGAAGGGGCACAGCTCAGTGGCAGAGCATCTGCTTTGCATGCAGGTCCCAGGTTCAGTCCCTGGCATCCCCAGGTAAAGCTGGAAATATTTCCTGCCTGAAGAGTCTGTGTAGATAGTACTGAGCTAGATGGACCAATTGGTCTGACACAGTACAGTGGTGCCTCGCAAGACGAAATTAATTCGTTCTGCGAGTTTTTTCGTCTTGCGAAGCACGGTTTCAATTTTTTCAAAAAAATCTTCAAAAAAGGCTACCACACCGCGTGCTATGAGTTGCTCCCCGAATACAAGTCGCAATTGCACCTCTTCAAGCAATGCACCCTGTATTACTGTAACGGTTTTAAGAAAAAGGAAACAAACTTGCAAGACGTTTCCGTCTTGCAAAGCAAGCCCATAGGGAAATTCGTCTCGCGAAGCAACTCAAAAAACCAAAAACTCTTTCGTCTTGAGAGTTTTTCGTCTTGAGAGGCATTCGTCTTGAGAGGTACCACTGTATAAGGTAATCGGGGAAAGGCTGTAGCATGCTTTGCATGCAGAAGGTGCCCGGTTTAATCCTCTAAATCTCCACTGTTGAAGGTAGTATGCTTCTGAATACCAGGTGCTAGGAATCACAAGCGGAAGGAATGATATTGTGGTCTTGCTTGCAGGCTTCCCACTGGGGCTTCTGGGTGGCCACTGTGAGAACAGGGTGCTGGACTAGATGGGCCACCGTCCTGGTCTAGCAGGGCTCTTCTGATGTCCTTAGAATTTAAAACTGGAGGAACAGACTGCATCAAAAGAAGCTGCACATCATGTATCAACAGAAGTTGGGTGTCATGCTCTGTACACACCCACACCAGAACTAACATCTCTTCTTGGTTCTGCAGTGACGGCTTTCCCCCAGCTTCTCAGCTTCTCCTATTAATATTTATGATGTGAAGAGGAAGTTGCATAAATCTTAATTGCTACATAATTAACCCTCCTTTTAAAAGAAAGAATGAAAGAGAAAGAGAAACACTCAGCTTCCTTTACTTTTGTGTGTGGGAGAGCTATGCAAATGATTAAAGGTTGTGTGGCAAAGAATGAACTAGAACATGCTGTCAAATTCAAATAAGGATATTAGAAACCAGAGCTTTTTTGGAAGACTTACCTTTCTTGGGTCCTGGCTCTTGAAGATTCCACGTGTGACTTCTTTGAAGCAGTCTTTATGCCTGGCTATGCTGACAATTCTATTTTGCCTCTTGACATGCCTCCCAGCAGTCTGTCTCACACAGACTAGTCTGGCCGAGAACAGAGCTGGGGGTGTGGCTATGCAGATGAGAGGGTGTGGCTACAGAGACTGGTTTAGTGGTTCTTTTGAGTTCTATGGGGCAAAGTATTGCCTTGTCTGAGGCATTGACATTACAGATGGATGGGTCTGAGGTGGGATAACTGAGAACAGGCCATACTTCAGTAGTAGAGAAAATGCTTTGCATGAAGAATGTTCTGCTAAAAGGCTCTAGTAGCAGGTGACATGTGTAGAAGACCTCTCTCTGATGGAAACCCCAAACAGTCAGAACAGACAACAGTTTGCATGCACTGTTGGTCTGACTCAGTATAAGGCATCTTCATATGTTTATATCACGGGAAGCTCCCCCTGCTTGCTCCACTCGCCAACCCCTGCCTACCCACCAGCTCCTTTGCCAACCCTCCTTCCTTCACTTCTTGCTTGCTCACCTGCCTGCGTGCCTACCATTCTATTGGTAGCATTGAGAACTGCAGCACGATGACAGCCTTACATTTTAATGTATATAGGCATATCTAGTGATGTCCCCCAGGGACAGAGAAAGAGACTCATTCCCTTAGGAAGAATACCCACATTCAGAGCAGGACTTCCTGCAGGATCAGTGATTCTCATCAGTAGCTGAGCATTCTCCGCTTCTGCTGAAAAGCTTGGTGAGTAGGTGGGGAAACTCACTGGAACAACTTCACCACTCTTGTGCAGTCTTCGAACTTGTGTTCCTGATCTTGGATGCCTGAACCAGGGCCAGATTATTTGTTCTTCTCCAATTGCACCTGGATTATATTCTGTTCTTTCCTGAGTCTGTACTGCTCAGCTTCTATAATAAACGTCCAGTTCTTTACTTACAAAAAAAATGCACCCATTGTCATTTTGGGGCTAGAACCAGGAGAACAGAAGGGGAAGGACCACACCTCAGTGGTAGAGTGCATGTTGTGCATGCAGGAGGCCCCTGCTCCAGCCCCCAGCATGAGACCCTGGAGAGAAGCTGTTGTTCAGAATAGACAATGCAGAATAGACAGTTGGTCAAACTGACAAATACTTTGACCCTGTCTAAGGTAGCTTCCTTTATTCCTAGAAGTCATGTGCTGTAAGGCAATTGGAGTCGTGAACTTGTAGCCCTGGTGCCTTCTTCTCTATTATGCTATCAAGAACACATTTGGAGTTGTTGGACACCACTGCTGGTGGCAAGAGAGTGTTGCTACCACCTTAGCAAGGATAAGGGGACTCAAAGGGCCACTAGGATCCCTGCTGATCCTATGAAGCACGTCTAGGGAACTTTTCTGCAGTCTAAGGTCCACATTCCCTTCTGGGCAATCTTACAGGAACTACATGCCAGCAGTGGGAAGGGCTAGAAGCAAAAGGTTGTGAATTTCAGCTTTGCACAGTGGGCTAGTTTCTACAGACGCTCACTTGTATACCTCTTTCTATCATACGCAAACAAGAACAATGACAAGGGTGCAATGACATATTTCAGCAGGCAAAAACACTCAAGGAGTTGCAAAACAGGATAGGTGAGGGAGGTGGCCTGGAGTGAGAGGGAGTGGCTGGGGAGTGAGTGTGGTATGGGAAGAGTCCTGAGAGCCAAAGATAGATGCCTCAAAGATAGAGGGTCAAATTTGACTCAGGAGCCTAGGGTTCCCGTCCCTGCTATAAAGCTGCGGACCCTACCACGGTTTTTCAGCCTCAACAAGTTACGTGGACTAAGCATCTTTTAGATTTTCTCACCCTGGGTTTTGGCTTGGCTACTAAGGCTGCCTCCAGACTGCTCTTCCTGACATGCAGAATATGTCAGCCTCTCCCCTCACGCCACATTTTTGTTTTAATCTGCACCTCATGTCCAATCTTTAGCAAGATCCATAAGAAAAACAGTTAACACACAGCTGACATATCTTTGAAACAACAATCATATACGGGAAGCTGCTTGACCCCTGAAGGTTCTCTTGTACCACAAGATTGACACTTCACATTGACATTGCTTCAGGCTTATCAACAAATCTAAGCCAATTTTATTAAAGAGCATGCCAGCAAGAGACAACTTTATAGAGAGAGCGCTGAGGAGAAAGCCAAGGTTCATTTGGCTATTTCCCTCCTTCTCTCCCCACCTTTTGATCTGGAATTTTAAGGAAATAGGCTATTTAAAAGAACCAGGACCTTGTTAGTTGGGTTATTCACTTTTCACTCTGCCATATCAGCTGGACTTCAGGAGGGGCACAGAAACCTGGAGGACAAGGCTATCAGTGGCCACTAGCCCTGATGGCTGTGCTCTATCACCACTGTGACAGGCAGAATTTCCCCGAGTCGCTGGGAATCACAGGTGGGGAAAGAGTTGCTGCATTCAAGTCCTGCTTGTAGACTTCCAATGGACCAATGAAGCCCATACCAAAAAATTCTTCAACCTCTGGCACCCCCACAACTGACATCCATCAGAATGTAGCAGAAACCCTGTTGGATCAGTCCAAAGGTCCATCTCGTCCAATGTCCTGTTTCCCATAGTGGCCAACCAGATGAATCCAATAAGCTCACAAGCAGGGCACCAGTCCAATAGCTCTTTACCGCTGTTGCTCCTTAGCATCTGGTAGCCACTGGCATGTTGCTGCCACCGGCATTCACTGAATGCCAAAGGTACATCTTTTGACTCAGGCCTTTGATAGCTGTGGTGTGCATTTTCAGGGTCCATTCTATTCCCAATTGTAATCTGTTTTAACTGTTTTTAATTTGGAATTGTTGTAACCTGCTCTGGGACATGCAAGTGAAGGGTGGGTAATCAATCAATCAATCAATCAATCAATCATTTATTCACACATATTGAGAGAGAACATGTTTTTGCTGGGCTCAGTCATCAACTCTCTTACCAAATATATAAGCAAATTTGTTTCTGCACTTCCTAACAGAGCACAGGTGCTTCAGAGGAAGGGTGAGAGTTGGAGGAGGGGAAGCAAAGCATCATGGAAATATCACGAAAATATGACAACCCCAACCCCACTTATTTCGGACCTACTGTTGTTCCTAGGACTGCAAAGGGCTGTTGCATAGAAGATCTGTGCCTGAAACAGTTGTGTGGCCAGAAAATGTTCAACAGCTGAAAAATTCTGCATGATAGCCTTTCACATTTTGAAGAGACCTATGACGCCTCTGCTTAACCTTTTCTATTCCAGGCTAAGCACATACAGAGCCAGTGTGGTGTGGTGGTTAAGAGCGATAGACTCGTAATCTGGGGAACTGGGTTCGCGTCTCCGCTCCTCCACATGCAGCTGCTGGGTGACCTTGGGCTAGTCACACTTCTCTGAAGTCTCTCAGCCCCACTCACCTCACAGAGTGTTTGTTGTGGGGGAGGAAGGGAAAGGAGATTGTTAGCCGCTTTGAGACTCCTTAAAGGGAGTGAAAGGCAGGATATCAAATCCAAACTCTTCTTCTTCTTCTTCACTTTTCCAAACTCTCCTGCTTGGCCTCCTTTGGACATGCTCCAGTTTGTCAGAGTCCTTTTAAAGTATGGCACCCATAACGGATGCAGTTCTCCAGCTGTGTCCTGACCAGCGCTCAGCAGTGACTGGCACCTCTTGTAATTTTTAGGATGGAATGCAGGGAGCCCAACAGTAGGTGGTGCTGGAACCAATGACAGGCAGCACCCACTCATTCTAGCCTTGTTCCCATCCTCTTCCATCCCTGCTGAGTTCTACAAGGGCAGTGCTGAGACTGCAAGAGACAGTGCCACCTCCCTGAACTGGTTGTCAGTAAGAAGGTAGATAAGTAAGCAAGTAGGCAAGCAAGATGGAGACAGACCAAGGTTGGGAGGGAAAAGCCTCATTAGCCCAA